TAATGACTTTGGCTAGATTGTCTCCAAAATCGTTGAGTTTTTGCTTGAGAGGCGTGGGCTCAGAGATTTGGGCCGTGATACTCTCATGGATATCTCCGATGGCGGTGTTGGAGCCAGTGAGGACGACAACAGCTCTGGCACGCCCAGTAACGACGGTAGTTCCCGAAAAGAGCATGTTGACTTGATCCTGCAAGACAGCACGCTCATCCTTGACGACGACCTCGTCATCTTTGCCGACACTCTCACTCTCTCCAGTCAAGATAGCTTGGTCGACGGCAAAGCTATTGCTCTCAATGGCAATGACGCGGCAATCGGCGGGGATACGATCTCCAACGGCTACAGTAACGATATCGCCAGGAACCAACTCGTCGGCTTTGACTCGAGCAACGTGGCCATGGTTACGAATAACATTGGACTCATTCGCCGAATATTCTTGCAGGGCGGCAATCGCCTTCTCAGCACTGCTTTCTTGGGAGACTCCGACGACGGAATTGAGGATTAGGATGGTAAGAATCTGAGAGCAGAAACCAAGTGTTAGCCAAGCGGGTTGGTTAGAAGACACTCCGTAGAGCTACGAATCGATATATGCTATCAGCAGTACTCACAACAGCGGGGTCAACGAAGGCACTCCAGCCGCCTTCGTCCTCGAAAAGTGCCAGAACAAATGAAACGGCCGCGGAGCCAAGTAAAATAATCACCAGCTGGTCCTTGAATTGCTCCAGAATAAGCTCCCACAGAGGAGTAGGAGGCTCTTCGGGGATAGCTAGTTGCTCAACAAAGTCAGCAAGACCATTTGTACAAAACGAAGATGGTGGGGTGAAGAGCGGCATCAAGACTCTAGCTCGTTCGCAATGGGGTATTTTATCGCGGATAGGAGGCAAATGAGAGATTGTGCGACACTTGAATAGGAATGACGTACAATTGCGACCATACTTGATTCTCAGCTCCTCAACTTCCTTGTTGGTAAGACCGTCATGCTCGTCCACTTCGAAGTGGGAGAGAACCGTCGCAATGGGACGGGCAAAGGCGTTCTCCATGTCGACTTGCTCGGCGAACAGAACACCGGAAGCTCGGCGAGGAGGGAAATAGGATGTTGCGCGACGTGCCGAGCGAGTATAGACCGGGGGATGTTGAGCACAGCGGCACGGACAAAGGAAGACGAAAGGTTGGGGGACAAGGTAAAGAAGGTTCGAATAGCCAGATCAGCGTCTTGACATGGCCGATTTGTCAGATCCGAGCAGCCCCACGTGGTGTCTGTAGAGAAGGCTGGAGAAGAAGACGAAACAGACAATGAAGGGAAAAGCAGTTTTCTGTGAGCCAGGCCGGCGAGCGCAAAAAGTTGTACATACGTGTTCGTTTTGGCTTTGGAGGTGGTGCTAGTCGACTTCAGGACTCCAGGAGTGGGTAGCGGCTGAGGCGAAGGGCCTGGTAGGTGCTTTGCCTTGGAGCGGGCTCCGTAGTGGCGCCTGGGGCCACATGGCGGCAAAGTCGGGCCTAGAGCCAGGGGCCATTCCGCCAAGCATCGGCCAGGTGTCGGGCCAGTGTCAGCCCAAGCCTGCCAGCTGCCAGCTTACTAGAAGGCGAAGTCAACATCTACATGGAGAAGTCCGAGGACACCGTGGTTGCTCTGCACCAAAGCTGCCGGCAGGTGCAGGTAAGAGGAAGACACATCTGGAATCATGATGAAGTGCAGGGCAGGTGCAGACACATGCAGCTGCCACTACGCGGAGTTGCTCGTGGTTGGTCACCCAGTGGAAGGTAACGACTGGTCGCAGGACCGCCCGTAGGGCTAGTACTCTGTTAAAACAATGCCCGAAGCACCGAGTACTTGCATACGTGAGCTTTGGCAATGGTTACCTGATTACACGCAGGAGGAGTCCTATAGTGGTAGGTACCTTAGTAGGTAGTGGGTACTTGAGTACCTAGTTACTTACATATCGCAACGCAACGTCCAGCATCTTCATCCCGGCTCATGCCTCTCAGATTCGGTTCGTAATATCTCTGCTGGTCATTCACTCCACACAATTGCTGTCTGGAGGATGCCCGTCAGCTTCCCACTAAGCGCTCCATTGGTCCCCTCCAGTTGCCCAGGGTCAGGTATTGTAGCTACCAGATGCACGACAGCGTGCCCAGCCAGCACTGCCTCCTCAAACGTGGAGCAGCCCAACATTGAAGGCTCCATTACCGGCTTCTATTGTAGTAGTACCTAGGTACTTACTTATGGCCATTGCACAGAGAGAAAGCGTGCAAGCATCACAACTGAGAAACAGGATGGTCACCAGCGCTCTCAGCGGCGCAGCTGGGCATCTTCCGCCCGGGTCTCCTGAGTCGGCGCGCCCCAGGTTTTTTGCTTCCGGTCTATTCCAAAAATGGACTAGCTCCAGGGCCTTGCCTCTGTCGGGCCTAGCGTCCGCCACTGGTAGAGTTGGTTCTCCGTGTGTCGCCATGCTTGTCGATGTCAATGCTTCGAGGTTTTTCGGCGATGTCCAGATATTTGCAAACAAAACAACAGGCGGCAAGAGGCCAGAGCTGGGAAGGCTGGCAGGTAAGGCAGGCTTCCGAATGTACGTCGCATTCATGCCGACTCCTGGTCGTGGTTGGGCTGCAATGCCCTTGGCGTACTTCCCTGTACATCTCTCCTTTGCTTTTGTTTTCCTTTTTCCTTTCCTTCTTTTCTTTTTTTACTGCAGAATCGGCATGTCTCTCCCGAGTGGCTGTATTGCAATTTTCGAGACAAGACAATATATGTGTTGTCAAATTGTCAACGGCTCCAATCTAACGGATGAACGTCATGAGATACAATGGGAGGCAGAACGTATTTGACCACATCAGGTACTTGACTATCGCGTTCCATATGATGATATAATATGGTGCATGACCATTTAGCCCTCCTTTTTTTATTTTTTAATGCCTTCATGATATACTATGGTATGTTATTATTGTATAATTCTCGGTGGGCAAATATATTCTGCCAGACTGTATGCCCCTTCTCCCCCGTAAGCAAGCAAACCAAGCCCATGCCATGCCATGCCATGCCATGAATCGCGATTAGCAGTGGAAATCGAGACAAGGTTTGCGGCTATAGTACTGCTATATAAACTACACTGTAATAAAGCCAGCTATAAGCCTGTTGCTGACAAGTGTAATATCGTCCGATATCTTTGTCGCCATGTGGTTGTAAATTATCTAAACCCCATCCCAATCGTCTGATCCTAATGTGTCTCAGCCATGGAACTTTAAACCTATTTGCCACGAACAGGAACCAGAACGTTGACATATTCGTCCACGTGCAACCCCAAGGCATCGCTCTTGTTAAAGTATCCGTCTGATATGTATTCTTTGTAACCGCAGTACCAGTCAAATCAGAAAATAGAAAATTTAAAGGTTTTGCGGAAACTGGGACACTTCTGCCGACGAATGCTTTGACTCAAAATAGCCCTGGTACATATCGTAGAATGTTCTGCAAGGTGTCTTCCGTGATCCCGATGTTTCTTGCGGTGCGGCTTTGCGGTCTATCAGCCAAATGAAACACACATTCGATAAAAGGATATGTTCTGCTGTGAGACGATCAAGCAGACCTCGGGACTGTCCTCATCAGAGATTTCATCGCCGTCATCTGCCCAATTTGATATCCAGCTCGCGTTGAATTCCAAGGCCAAGTTTGAGTATGGGCGCTTGAATGCAAACCCGTACGCGAGTGGCCTTTTGGTCTAGGGAAGAGAGTAAAGATAGAGGCCATTGTCCTGGGAACTGATTCGCTCGAGGTAGTACAGGTTACGTATTTTGGTTGGGGGGACAAAAGCTGAACACTGCCAGCTACCTACCACCTAGGTAGGTATTTATGAACGGGATAGAACAAATAAATGGCGCATGGCATCATTCAAGCCTTGAAGAATGCCGAATGAAATCTCTAGTGTCTTTTTTGCGAAATCAGTCAGACTCTCCTTCAACACCTGTGCCTTCAGGTAGGTTAGCTGCTAGTTATTGAAAGTCCGAGTAGTTGTCGCTTTGTTGAGAGTTGCTTTTGAAGTATTCAAGCTTCCTGTGGAAGGTTCAAGTCGCTTCAGCCGCATCCGACTTTACAAATACATGCCGCATCTTCAGTACAGACCAAAGATATGTTTTGCTTTTATAAATTACAATTATCCGCCACCCTTTTACATACAACCATAGGTAGTAGAAAACTCAGGGTCCCGTCCAATCTCGTACTTAAACCAGCAATCGGATAAGGGCACCAAGACACAAACAGGAATAAATAAACGCCAAACCCACGGCCTCTTTACGATGCTCTTCTCATTCAAGTGATAAATAAGCGCAACATGAAATGCTCTCCGTTCACACTTAACACCCTCTAGCTTCCATGTTTCTATTCCTTTAATCTTGCAAAGATATCACCAAGAGTGATGTATTGAGGACTCCTCAGGATCCCACACCCGGAACACAAAATATGCAACAGGCGTAGATTTGAATATAAGAGCTTCTGGTATTTTCGAGAGACTAATCGCATTTCCAATCACCTTCTTGGAGTGTCAGTCCGCCGGCAACAGAGTCATAGCCACAAATGCCGAGACCTGATCAATTTTTCACGCCATAAGGACATATTTATTAGCGACCTAAACTTGGTCGCGTCTAGGCGGCGTCGTTTTTGTAGTGAGCTCTTTGCCCGCGGCAGCTACGGCGGATCAATCGCGCCTAGAAAGCATCATCTTAGAAAACTTCGTTGTCAGGTATTTGCTTCACTCTACAAGGTACCTTTATGCAACGTATACTAGGGAACAGGAATACGCTCAGTACAAGATTTACGCAACACCTCTGACACTCATGGTGACCTAGGATTCGATATTGAGATTGGTCACAGGGTTGATCCTCTTTATTAACTGCCGAGTACGGACAATCTGATGAGATATTATGCCGATCCTCCAAGGTCACGCAATGTTAATTATTTCTCTCTTGTAAACGTTAGGTAATAACTGAGTGAAAAAGAAAGTGAAAACAAACCATCATAGCCCGTCACCCGGCGCCCAAAACTTCATCCACCTTGGATCCAAATCGCTTCCTTCGCGATAAAATCTCAAGTCGGTACTCAGACGGATTCTACCGTCGGCGTCTTCGTTTAATGAACTCGTGTGAATCATATATGGGTCGTGGAATACCACATCCCCAGCTTCGTAATTGGTCACGAGCCACCGCTGGTGTTTGTGCTGCGCACCAAATTCAGCAGCATTCTGTGATAGTTGTCCATACTTTTCCATATGGATGTTGAACGCGCTCATCCTCTCTTCTGGGGTCAATTCGGCTGCTCTGCGAGTGAAGTCCTCCTCGATAGATCTGCCGAGTCCCACAGAGTCAGCAAGATACATCAGTCCACCTCCATTTTGTGACACGTCCCCGATCGGAACCCATGCGGTGAGGAAGAAGGCCTCGCCACCTCTGAGGAATAGTTTGTCGTAATGCACCGCTGTGCTTAGTGCGCCGGGGACGTTGTGACGAAGCATTGTACGCTGGAGGAGGACTTCGTTGTCCCACCTCATTAAGTTCCTGATAAAACTCCGTAGGTCGGTGTGTGCCACAAAGTTGAGATATTCCGGTGCTTTGTGTGCGTCGGTCATTGTTGTGACCTGTAAATCTGTGGGAGGGAGTTCGCCGGCACCGATGCCGCCGTGGGCTTGGGGTGATTGGTTCGAGTTGAATATGCCGGCTTCCGTTGATGTTCCCGGTTCCAGTATTCCGGTTGGAGCATATCGAGTGAAGTATCTTTGTGGGGTGTGAGTAATCATCGTGGAAGTGTTAAACTTACGTGATCTAACGGGTTACTACAAGATATACCTGCAGTTTATACTCACTCGGATCGGACTTTTAGCACATCCTCCCTTGGAATCAAACTCTTCACGAATAAATAACCATCTTCTTTCAGCCTCTTGCGCATTTCAGAAATAGGAGTGCCTTTAGATGTTGGTCTGAGCCAGCCTAGGTTTTCCAGCGCAACCTTTCCTTCGTTGGACCCTACTGGGATAGGTGGCTCATGCGAGCGCAGGGTCACGGCGGCTGCGGTCATTGTGAAAAGAGCCACTATTGATCTGAGACAAAATTCATGCTACCGAATGCTCATTTTCTTTACAGTTGGTACTATAATATATGGTCATACAAACTTGACAATGAAAGAGGGGTTGGTGCCGAAAACGGCGACAGGCACTCGCCTGGATCTCATGTATTTGCCACCCCGCAGAGGGTGACCATCGCTCGGAAGCTAATAGACCGATTTAACCGAAGAGGTGATTTTGTATCGCCTTCTGTATTCATATTTGAGCGCCTGTTCCTTGTTAGTCGCGGTAGTTGGACATTGGCCGTAGTCACAGGACCTTCACCGGGCGTCAAGAACTCAAGTTGCTCAACATACTCTCCCCCACAAGTTACAACTTGTGTTGGATCCAGTCCCTAGAAAAAAGATCCGTAATCGACTGGTCACAGAATATTCAGTATCTTGCCATGAGAAGTTGCTAAATGGTTACTTGCCTGCCGTGTGACTGTACCACACTGTCCTCCCATAGCCTCTTGCCAACCCTGGGTCTCTGCCAACCACGATTCATGAACCTTAATACCATGTACGACACTTCATGCATCAACCACGCTATTATCATGCACATGAATCCTGCATTTTCCGATTCGGAGGATGAATAACGGTCCAAAAACGACGGCGTTCGCTGGCGCTTTTGAGCAGAGCTGAAGAGAATTACAACAGCTTTCTCTTCTGTTGTCATCCCGAGCTCCACGCTTTTGGTTTGGAGATAGCAAGTTGCAGATATCCAACCGCCTGTACACAGCAGACGCCATGTTGCCCTAGTAGCCGAAAGCACAAATGGATGACAATTGGTCTGCGGAAATCCTAAAGCCGTTAACCTATGCCCTTGCCACGGCTAGAGGAGCGCTCGAATACGAGACCGCAACCACATGTACCCAAGATCATCGATCGCACAGGGACTACATGCCAAAAGCATGAACCACTATTTCGGACAAAGGACCTCATTTTTGGTATGACAAAGAACGTAGACCAGCATATTTGGGGCCCGACATGGGATGTGAGCGGCGTCGCCGTCGTCAGCAATACGTGGCAATGCTGTTGCGAGATGGAATCATTGGAGACCAGATTCCCCAGACTGCGGACTGATATTGACTATCATGAAATGGAAGTAGCAGGTGCTCCGACAGCTTTTTTGTTTTGCATTGACGTCAACTGGTGGGTTTGCTCCTTCCTCCCTGACATTTATGCTCTCCTGTTGCCAGCTGTCGAGCACCCGGTGGCATCTCTAGAATTCCTTCTCTTCCCCCATCCACACAATACCCTCCCTTTGGTTCGTTTTTGGTGGCATCCATTCCCCCAAATCGGGATCTTCTTGGAAGTAATTTTGTATCAACTTTTTTTGGACTTGTTCAGTTTGATTCCTCTGTAGTATGGCGATTGCAGTATCGACCTTCTATACGCCTCGGGCCTCTGTCGACGGCTTTCAATCAACAAATCCAATACCTCCAATCGTTGGGAAACACACCAACAGTTTGACGTTTTCCCATTTCAGCACGTATGCTGGACAGGTTTACGATGGGCTAAGCCAGCGACGAAGGCAGATTAAGTCTCTGCTGTCCAACGATGGTATCGAGAACAAAGCCCAGGTTTCACACGGTTTCTTGCACCGGCGTATAGACCCAATCCCGCCTAACTCAATTAGTCAAATTTCTGATATGCCTGACATCGAAACCGAAAAAAATATACGTCCTCGATCTCCCTTCCGTAAGTGGATGGTCTCCATACAGAAACGAAACCAACATGGCCTCTCACCACGGCAGTTACCAAGCCGTGATTTGCCAGATTGGCTTTGGGGCACCGGCGAAGGGCACAGTACGTCACAGCCGTGCTACTCGATTCGGGCCAAAAACTCATCCGGATCCTCGTTCAACTTTGTTTCTGCAGTTCGAAGCGCCAGTGTGAGTTTGACGGAGCTCAGTACGATGACAAGATCAAAAGCCAACACCGCAATCTCCAGATGTGCCTCGCAGGTTGATCATGGCACCGACGTATTGACGGAACCAAAACAATCTGAGGATGTCACTATTGGCAGGCCAATAAAACTGGATCCTGACGCTCTGGATCGGGCTGTGAAGCGTCGTCGTATATTAGATGAGCTAGTACACACCGAAGAAGACTATATCAGTGATATAAGGCTGCTTTTAAATGTATGGCAGAACACTAATGATGCTACAAGATATTCTAATGAGTCTACTAGGTTTATGTTACGATGCTGGTGTCGCTTCCTTCCACATATCATGGCTTACGGCAATCGGTCAACCGGAATCTCTCCGACATCTTACAGCTGCATGAAGAATTCTTGGACGAGCTTCAGCGCGCCGTCTCAAATTCGGGGATCAAAGAATTTGGTCATCTCGAAGGTGTTACCGGAATACCAGACCAACCGCTCCATGATCGGACGCAAGTCTTCAGTCGTAACGGAAGAGCCAACGTTCACCGCGGTTGGTCAATCATGGAAACTTCTGAGCTATGTGCAGAACCACAAGTTATTGTTGAAGTTTCCAAAATCTTTGAGAGACAGGTGAGCCATCATCACACCACCCACTTACGATGAGATAAATGCATTTCTCTGATAACCATAGATGAGTCGTTTCTTTATATATAAAGAGTATGGCGCCAAGTATGAAATGATGGTTCAAGAAACAGCTTCAGTATATGATACATTGCCGGACTGGGATTGGAACCAGAAAGGGCTCGAGGCCCTGTCAGCCCTATTAAGCACGAGGAGCTGTGCACTGCGCAACACCAACAGAGCGGCTACTATGAAAGATCTCCTTGTGAAGGTGAGACCTATGTCAAGGACGAGGAAAGTGAAGAAAGCACGTATTAACATGAACGCCAGCCGATACAAAGAATCTGCAGGTACCCTTTGATATTTGGAGAGCTCCTCAAATATACCCCTGTTGCTGATTGCCCTAACGCACACATGGCGGCTGAGAGCGTGTTAGCCCGGTTTCGAGAAGCAACCACAGAAATTAACCAGGTGACAAATGACCCTCAAATGAGGAACACTTTATCACGCTCATGGTTACTACAAGACCGACTCGTATTTCCAAACAGGGTAAGCTTTCTGAGGTCAGCTTTTGGAAAAGAGGAGTAGCTAACCATCAGATAGAGTTTCGATTCGGTTTCCAAAGATCGTGTACGATCTTTCGGTCATGTTCGCCTATGCGGAACTCTCCATGTCTGTTGGCAAACTCCAGATGGAGTTGACGGCCAATACTTGATATGTATACTTTACCCTGATGTTCTCTGCTTGGCATGTGCTGGGAAAGTAGATCCCATATATACCATAAAAGCTTGTATAAATGTGCATGAAGTCAAAATAGAGGAGGCAGATAACGGAAGAGGTGAGCGAAATGTCTCGACGTTGAAAATTCCCTACCTACAAAACAGCTGATTGCGATCTCAACAATAGGTTTACAATGCCATACAGCTCCTTTCTCTTGGAAGCTCGTTTTTGAATGCCATCATCAGCTATTTGAAATTATTATGACGGCCTGTGCCCCCAAAGAAGAAGTGGAATGGCGCGCACGATTATCTTCACCACTAGCACAATGCAAAATTGGAGTGGCAACCACGCTTACATTTCTGGACTTGAACATTAAAAGCCTTGGGGTTGTTACCAGCAAATCAGGTGAGTCTTCACTATTGGTCCATCCTGTAGGCAGCATTGACATAAAAGGAAACAGATCCTGGTGCTCGAAGACTGTCCATTCGGAGAGCTACCACGATATGTCCCAAGCCAGCTTTGTACCAGGTAATCATCAAATACACAAGTGGAGTTCGCCAAACCAGCGGCCACGGTTCTACGTCGTTAAACATACATCGATCTCATTCGCTACTTGCTGCAAAGACTCGTGTTTCGTTTCTCGCGCCACCTCGAAGCGAACGCGCGCGTTTAGAGATTATTTTGGCTGATGTCTGGAGTCAAGAGATTCTGCCCTTTTCAGGCATGAGTGGTCGGTCGAGAAGTGAGCGTCTAGTTAGAACATCAGCCTCGACGGTTATTAGGAAGCTGAGTGTGGCGAGTATTGCAAGCTCCTTTGCCAAGAGAGCTAGCGGACTGAGGCAGAGAATGTCACTCGAAGACACTTTCCGGCCAGTCGGGCTACAAACGACACCTTCAGAAGTGGCAGACCCTGGATCCACGTCAAACTCGGAAAACAGAATGAGTGATTTAGAGAAGCATAAAGCTTCGACAGCCGCAGCAAAGCGCTCGTTGTCGCAGGAGGAAATACAGGGAACGACGAAGAAGAGAAGCGGCATGTCAGGTCATGGATTCCGAGGCATGTTCAGTTAAACTCTTGTACGATTGACCCCTACAGACGTGATATGACGATGGCATGCAGGGGTCTTAATGCCCCTGATGAAGATAGTACAGGGATTGGCCGGAATAAATTGTATGGCGGAAAGTGCATAATACATAATGACATACTTTAGAAACTGAAGAACATAAAATAACAGAGGATGTAGTATGGCCATGGCCAACATGAAAGAAAAATTAGGGGCAATGGTACTGGCTGACAGCATTTGGAGAAGTGATGAATGTTGATGTGTCTTGGACAGGTCGTGCATATACATACATGGCATTACCTGCGAGTAGCCTCTAGTAGGTACGGAGAACTTGCGTAGATGGGCTTCGGGCGGACAACATGTGCCTTTAGAATGGAATGGCCTACGGGTGGCCAATTGGTAGAAATGAAGTGACTGCCAAGTAGTACTCCGCACTACTCCATTACAGTACCAACTTTGCAATGTCTTGGGCGAGTTGGCCAAATTAGATGATGTCGCTAAATGATGTCGCGAGCTGGCACTTGCACCTGAACCCTTAGCGAGGTGGCTTGTCTCTCTCTGGCTTGCTCCTGGCCCCGCAGCAATTGAACCTTGAAGGCTAGGGAAATAAAACCGGTAAGCTGCCATCGCCATTTTTCTCGTTGACAAGCTCTCCGGGGCGACCAAGCTCATCGTGTCTTGCTCGTGTTACAGCACCATCCGTCGCTCTGGTGTGGGTTCTCCGGAACAAGAAGGGGTGCATCATGGCATCGACAGGAGACGTCCACACGCAGGATGGTAATGGGAGTGCTGCTGCAGCACCGTCCAAGTCCGAGCGGCTGATACCCACCTTGATGAAGTCGGCCGTTGACCAAACTGTCAAAGCCGTTACAACCGTGGTCCAAACCGAGATTCGAGCACTCCCCAAGCAGATAGTTGCGGCCGTTGTTGCTCAGCAAGCTACAGCTCCCGCCAAAACACCAAAGAAGGCCGTGTCGCCTACACCAGACGACGACCAAGCTCTGTCCAAGTCCCAGCAGCTTTGGAACGATGCATACGATGGCTTGGAAGACGGCGGTGCCACCTCTGGCATTGTGCAGTCATATGCGGAGACGTTGACGTTTGCCATTGCTGGCGGTGACGAAGGGAAGCCGGGGCCAGAGATGGCCACTTTGGCTGCTGATTTGAAGGACCCCGTCAAGCGGCAGGCACACATGCGAGATCTTGTGCAAAAGGGACGCGAGAAGTTTGCCGACGACTCAAAGCTGGCCCAGACTGTGGGGGATGTTGCTGGATTTGTTCTCCAGGCTAGAGGAATCATCGACGTTGCCATCAAAAACGTTCCTCAAGCCGCCTTGCCATGGGCCGGTGTCTGTGTTGGACTGCAGGTGAGAGCTACATGCATGCCCAAGGCTATTGATCCGGTTTCGCCATCGAAGTCGCCATCGAGACCACTGAAACTAAACTTGTCAACAGATCCTTACTAATCCGGCTAAAGTCTCCCGAGAGAATCTCGCAGGGATCACCCATGTAGTCTCTCGCATGGATTGGTATTGTTCGTTGGTTGATCACCTTCTGGATGAGCGAAGTATCGTCGAAGGCAAAGAACCCGCCAGTGTGGTCACGCAGCGCCTGGAAACCCTCGTGCTTGATCTGTACAAGAGCCTTTTGCTGTATCAGATGAAGAGCGTTAGCTCTTATTACAGGAATTCGGGCTTGACTTATCTTCGGGAACTCGCTGCATGGGACAAGTGGGAGTCGGACCTTAAGGCCATTACCACTGCAGAAGAAGCTCTGAGAGCTGCTTCTGTTCAGTACAATACCCAGAGCTCCCTTGAACGCCTATCTGAGCTGATGAAACATGGAGACAAGATGCAATCAACGCTGGGGAACATCCACCAGGATCTTCAGGATTTCATTTCTACCCAGAAGGAGAAGGTTGCCGATGACAAAGACTCTGCTTGTCTCCGAGACTTGTTCGTAATCGACCCGATGCGCGACCTTGAAAGGCTTGAAAGGAAGACGGACAAGCTAATTGACATTGCGTTTTCGTGGGTCCTGGATACTGAAGAGTATACATCGTTCTCGAACTGGCATGGATTTGACTCCCGCCGTCTGCTTTGGGTTAAAGGAGGACCTGGAACAGGCAAGACAATGCTTTTGATGGGGATTGTCCGAGAGATCTCGACACAGTCAGCAGCGTTCGCACCCAGCGCATCATACTACTTTTGTCAAGGCACCGGAGATCAGACGCGAAACAATGCTACCGCAGTATTTCGATCCTTGCTCTGGATGCTGCTTATTCAGCAACCTCGTCTTATCCAGCACTTGCGTGCCAAACATAAATATGCGGGATCCTCGTTGTTTACAGACCCGAACGCGTTTAGTGCAATGTCTGAAGCTTTTGAAAATATGCTGAAGGATCCGTCATTCACGCCTGCATACTTCGTGGTGGATGGCCTGGACGAGTGTGACGGGACTAAAGAAGATTTAATTCAACTGATTTACAAGTCTCTTAGTATTTCGCACAAGGTCAAATGGTTGATTTCTAGCAGACCAGAACTTGATTTGATGAAACCAGATGTGGATGAGGCTCTGGTTGAGTTGGATGCACAAAGATTGGAAGGGCCAGTTCATGCATACATCACTTACAAACTGTCAGGGTTGAAAGAGAACCCTGGATACGATGACGAGGCCACTCTCGTGGAACTGTCTAATGAAATATGTGACAGAGCTGCAAATACCTTTCTCTGGGCGGCGTTGGCATTCAGAGAACTTCAAGGTGTTGATGGGAAGGAGGCTATTGAGACAATCAAGAAGCTGCCCTCCGGGTTGCCAGACCTGTACAGTTACCTGATGGCTAAGATTGAAGAGCATCATGGCCTGAAAAGGATCCGGTGCAAAAACGTTATCACGGCTGTATATCTTGCATATCGGCCGCTCACTCTGAAGGAGCTGGGGGTGGTGGCCGGACTTGGTTCTCCCATTAAACCTCTAGATATCGTAAAGGCCTGTGGTTCTCTTCTCAGCATGACGGGCAGAGTGGTCTCTTTGACCCATGAATCTGTCCGAGAATACTTGTGCCAGAAATATGGCAAGTTGCTGGAGCAAGGGGATGTTGTGCTGAGCCATCAGGATATTGTTAGCAGGTCACTTGTAGAGATGCAACACACCCTGAAGCACAACATGTACCATTTGCCTGGAAATGGGTACTTCCCGAGGCTCCTTGGTGATGCAATCAACGGTTCTGATAACGATCCTTTGGCTGGTGTTGCCTACTCTGCGACATTCTGGATGCACCATTTGGTTAATGCCGGCAGGTCGGAAACTTCTGCAGAGCTCGTGACATCTGAGAGGGTCCTGGATTTTTTGAAGAAATTCTTTCTTCGCTGGATTGAAAGTCTGTCACTTCTCGGAAGCCTGTCCGAAGGGTTGAAAGCTATTCGCCTGCTCGCAGCACAGCCTCGCTTTGAATCTTCAGCGCCGTTAAGGCAGTTTCTCAAGGACGCCGAGAGATTTCTCATCAGTCACAAATCCACCATCAAAGCGGCAGCCTTGCAGACCTACGGCACGGCCTTACTATTTGCTCGACCTGAAAGCAGTGTTCGAGTCTTTGGATGGGATGAGCGGCTTCCTTTCATTCGAAACATGGTCACCACGCAGCAGACCGGGGACTCCAACACGCGGACCCTTGATGGCCGCTATGGCGCAGTCACCGCAGTGGCCTTTTCTGAAGACGGAAGCTTCTTTTCAACAGGTACTGAGGGTTCGCTTACGGTGTGGAAGGTTGAAACATGGATACCCATCTGCACAATTTTCCTCCCCGACTCGACAGGTGTGGCCGAAGAACTTAGCTTCTCTCCCGACTCCAAATCCGTGATGGCGGTGTATGGTGATACTTTGCACATTTGTGACGTGGAAACAAAAACACAGATCCGGACCCTCGTACATCCCGAGAAGCGTAAAATTGCCTGTGCCAACTTCCAATCCGACAGCAAAGGCGTTGTGATGGTTCTTAGGGATGCCACAGTTCATGTGTGGGACGCAGAGACGGACAAGTTTGAGCAGGTATTCGCGGCAAAGGGCGAGGCTAAGAGCATCATTGCTTTATCACCAAACAACAAGACTTTGGCTGTTTCGTTGCTGCAAAACTTGATTGGTATCTGGGACGTGTCCACCGGTTCGGGAGACAGCGCTCGAGTGCTGAAACGCCATGACGAGGCATTCCGCGACTTCACATTCGCGAGTGACAGTAAGACGCTCGGGTCAGTTTCCACTGATGGCACCATCTGCCTGTGGGACATTGAGAGCGGCATCTGTGCGAGAAGCTTCAGCCCTGGATGGAACAACTGGCCGACGATTGCATTGTCCCCAGATCTCAAAACCATAGCAATGGGTGGCTTGGAGGATACAACTCGTCTGCTGGACATTAAGGACTGGAGTCAGCAGGAGGAAGCACAAAGTCACCATAGCCGGGTGACGGACGTGGTCGTTTCTCCTGATAAGACTGTCGCGGCAACAGCCTCCCACGACAAAGACATTCGCATATGGGATATTGAAAGCGGCGAGTGCTTGCAACGACTCTGCGGCCATAAGGACGCCGTCCACTCTGTCGCCTTTTCACCAGACGGGCAATCTTTGGCGTCAGCTTCGGGCGATAAGACCGTCCGGGTATGGGATCTGAAAACAGGTGAAGCTCGCCAAACTTGGCAGGGGCACACTGCAGCTGTCAAGTGCGTTGCATTCTCTCCAGACGGCAAGATGGTTGCTTCATTCTCCGAAGATAAGACGGTCAGGCTCTGGGCGGTTGATACGGGTTCGAGTGTGCCGATCAGGGGCCAAAGCGAATCACAGTCATGCATTGCCTTCTCCAACGACAGTAAGACGCTGGCTTCTGTCAACAAGGATGGCGCCATCGCTTTGTGGGATACCGAGACTGGAAACCAAGTGCATGCGTTTGATGCGGAGGAAGCCGACTGCCCCATGGCGCTCGCCTTTTCCCCAGACGACTCGACGGTCATGATGGGGTCTGTCAATGGCTGCATCTACGCGCTGGACAAGGCATCCAACTCGAGACGGCAGGTTCTTAGCCAGCAAGAAACCTTTTCTGACATGGCATTCGCGGCTGATGGGGAGACTATCGTGACGACGGCGGGCTCCGTGCCGAGCAGCGCGTCTGTGCAGACATGGCTGAACAAGAAGACGCCAGACAATACACTTTTTGTGTACAAGCCGGTAGCATTCCCTGGTATGGAGTCTGAAGCGAGACTGGGCGACGTGTGGATCGAGGGACGTGGTGTTTTGGCGCTGCTGCCGACCAGCTATACATCGAATGTGTTGGCTGTCTGTGAAGACATTGTGATTTTGGGGCACGCGTCGGGCAAGGTAACATTTCTCTATTTTGACTTTCCCAAGAGACCTGATACCTATTCTGCATAGACTAAGAGGAGGGAGACACGGGCGGTAAGTGAACAGCGGTATGCAGTATTCATAAGTACATATGGTGTAACGAGATATTCAGATTGGGAAATATCGTCTCGCAAAGCATAGATAATACGTAATGATAAAGAATAATTAGAGAATTACTTGTGGTACATGTGAATTGTGCTGGCAGTCCTTTTTACGCGTTTAAACTATTACTACTTGGATGAGAAGCATTTGCTGGACTTCAAGTTGTGCTCAGTTTCCCGTAAAGGGCGGCATCAAAGGTCACGAAAAGTATAGCACAACCCATGTCCACAGCCACCGAGCGACAATCATATGTAGGCACACTCAATATATTAAAGTTGCCAAGCGCAGATGGCATTGATATCAGACAAGCCATAGATGGACAACTGCCACAAGCCCCCAACAGCTATTTCATTTTTTTTTATCTTTTCTAAAAGTACAATTCGCACCAGTGCCAGCGGGACAAGAGGCGGGTAAAAGGAAAAAATTGAAGATGATTCCATGCTTCCGTAGCTCATAACAACGCCTGCCTAAATGAATACGCTCAGTGAGTCTTCATGGAGCTCATGCTCTCGTTGGTAACGCCCTGTCGGCCGGGCATCTTTCACGTAAATAGTCAGTTGCTGCTCATACCGCGGACCAAGGAAAGGGGAGGAGGGGACCGAGGGACGTACCTCCATGGTCTGCATGGAACCGCCTTTGAGAATCTTCTTGATGACCTCGTCGTCGTCGTCGGTGCCGAACTCCGAGTACAGCACGTTCTTGGGCGCCGCGTCGTACGTGCCCTGGGCGCCTTGTCTACAAAACGGCCTGTCAGTAGGCGGCTCCTCGACGCTCGGGGACCTTGGTGGTCTGCCAGAAGGGCGAGAATGGGAAGAATGTGTGAGTGTGTGAGTGTGTACCTGTGTGTGAGGAAGATTTTGAACGACGACACGAATTGCGCCAGGGGGATGGACGTGTCGCCCTTCAGCCACTGCTTGTACTGGTCTACGTCCTCGACGAAGACGAGGAAGTCGTCGTCGGAGCCCTTGTAGTGGATCTTGGTCTGCGTGCTCTCGCCTCGAGTCATTTTATTTCTTTGAGGGGGGGGATTTTGGAGAAACTTTGTGAGCTTGGGCAGGTGCGGGGTTGGTGTCGCGTGAGCTGTGGTGCGGGATGAGCTCTGCGTGTTTGTGAGTGTGTTGCTTTTTCCAGATTACTTCAAGGAAGAAGGTGTTGTTGATGGAGTGTTGACACGATCGAGTCAACTTTTTGAAAGTTTGTTGGTTTGGTTTTTGATGGAACGATGGAAAACGGGAAACTTGGGGAGAAGGGGGAGAAGGAAGGATGGAAATGGTGCGAGAGGACGGGCTTAATAAAGTTTGCCCGGATGCCGAAGTGGCAGCTGTCGGTTTCTGCACTCGCGGGATTTCAGAATGGCGTTACTTGGTATGACGATTCGAGAGCTTCCTGCGGGTGGGAAGACGAGAGCTTGGGGGGAGCTACCAGTTGACGTCATTGGCGTTTGTGGGGTGTACTTGCTGGTGACGTCTGGATCGTTGACGTTTTGGGGGCCCACACATGTAGCGGGACTGTTGCGAGGGGTCAAGGACTGAGGGGCACGGGCCACCTTTGCTGAGTGGAGGGAATGTGCGACGGCGTGGAATAGATGAATTGAAAGATGGGAAATTCCAATGCCATGTGGAATTATATTTGCAGGAGCTTGTTTTTTATTTATTTATCTGATTTTGGATGACTTTTATTGACATTCTCTCCTTTTCTTCGCTTTTGCAATGGCAGGATGGGAAATGCACGCGCTCTGAACTCTGTACTACTCTCTGAGAGTCTGAGACAATCAAACTGAAAGTGGCTCCCGTTTATGCAAATCCGGCAACCTGACGTGCCGCAGTGGACTTGCTTGCCAAGGCTGTACCTGCAATATTACTTCATTGTTAGATCTTCTACCTTGTCCTGTGGGTAAGCGTGGCTATGATGTCGTATGCTTGGCGGCAGTGTCAGGTTGGTTCTGGCATTAGTGAGTGCCTGGTGGGATACGGACAACGAGGCAAGGGATGCATATGACGACTGAGTTTTGAATAAGTCTCTTTGCGAACGCGGAGATATGGCGCTAGTAGTAGATACAGGACGTGTTGGTATGTACAACATGTGCGATATGCCTCCACGGGCACCACCTCAAACGCCGCTGCAATATGGCTGCGAATAACCAATTGAAGTTGTGTCAAGAAGAAAACTCATAATACAAGAGATGCATAATTTGCCAAAACGCCATGTAAACCACCGCGGGCCAGCACATGCCCACCCAGCCATCCCGTCTCACCAACCTCACTCACTTCAACTCATCATAATCCGGCAGCGCCCACCCATCACTCTGATGGCCAGCAACCAGCCCCAGCAACCAGTCCATCCTCTAAGCTGACGCGCAGGACAAAGGTGGTGCATGAATTTACACTGGATATACATACCTATATTTTGGCATGAACTCACTCACTCACCTTTTTGGGACGTCAGGACTCGGGAGTCACTTGGCTCCCGGTGCCGATACGTCTCCACTTCGGGTCCGCTACCCGGGCAGTCCATCTCCGGCCTTGCATAATCCAGTGTACAAGGCGGCCAGGTTCACCTGCTGGGAAAAGAAGCGCCATTACTCCCATTACAGAGCGTCAGCGCATTGTCCCGCAGGATGGTAGACTTACTTATTTACAATATACCAACTATTATTGTTCTGTACTGCTGCGTGGACCCGGGAAGGAACCATTCAACTGAAAGCCTGGCCGTGCATCACTAATATCGGATTGCAGGAGAAAAAACCCCTTGACTATGAATCACTTCATATATTCTGCTTTAAATGTAGCTCAAATTCACGCCATCATAAATATGCCTGGTTTTACATACGACGTCATCTCCTAACCACATGCACATTACAAGTAGTTGCGTCTCCGCTTCTGTGTCGTGGCGGGAATCTGCTTCTTCTTATAAACAGACAGCCTGTTGCTAGCACCGCAGTACTCCGTGTCACTACCACCGCAGAGCATTCTGCAATCGGCAGCGGGGGCAACAGCTGAGGAAGCAGCAAGAGCGTTACCGCAGTAGCACTCTCGGCCATACTCAGTACCAAAGTACGTGAAGTTATTGCCATTGCTATTGCAAAACGTGGCACACACTTCATTGGTCATGTTATTCTGCGGCAGTGTCGGGCCGTCCAGAGCTCTCGTGTTGTTGCCCTCAGTTTGGCATCCGGCAAAGACATAGTCGCCAACAGCTGCAGGCTGCTCAGGGTTACCAGTGGTAATGTTGGGGTTCTGGTAAAGCTCCAAGCGGCTGCTGGCACCACAATACTCGTACTGATCACCAGAGCAAGGCATGTTGCATTCCCCAATAGGCGCCGTCTTGCTGCTATCGGCGAGGAAGCTGCCGCAGTAACATTCACTGCCGTATTCGGTGCCGAAATACTTGAAAGACTTGCAGAAGGTAGCACAAGCTTCATTGGTCATCTTGTCACTAGTAGTGGCCGCTTGTCCAAGAGCCCTGACGCCGTTGCCCTCGCTCCAACAGCCGACCATAGTGTACGGGGCCACAGTGGGCTTGTGACTGAGAGTGGCAGTAGGAGTCGGCGTAACGGGTGCGCTCGTCGTCGAGTACAGCTCGAGACGGTTGCCGGCGCCGCAGTACGCGCTGGGGTCACCGCCGCAGGCCATGTTGCATTCAGTTAGGGCAGCAGCCGCACTAGTCTTGTCAAGAGCATTTCCGCAGTAGCCTAATTCCTCAGTTAGATACTTGCATTCCAATGAATTGTCAAGGCCAAAATGAGATGAGCTTTCTAGGTTGGAGGCTTACATTCACGACCATACTCGGTACCCCAGTATACATAAGCTTTGCAGTAGTCGGCGCACTTCTCAAGGGTCATGGTGTCGTTGGCGAAAGAGGTGCCAGCCAGCGCTCGGACGCCGACACCCTCAGACCAGCAGGAGACGTGAGTATAGCCGGCAACAGTGGCACGGTGGGTAGGAGTGACGGGCGCCACTATCGAAGTTGTGGTTGTGGTCGTGGCCGTAGAACCAGGAGTTGTCGTCGTGGTGGTCGAGTTAACTGGAGGGTCAACAGCATCACAGGCTCCAGGGTTTGGAAAGGCGGTGCAAGTTCCGCCAATATCGGTGATAGCCTTGAAGGTGTCGGCTTTGCTTCCAGAAATAACATCAACCCGAGACTGGTAAGGCATGCCACCGGGAATGGTGTACTGGCCCGAGAAAAGGGTATACTTGCCAAGACAGGCGCCTTTCTGAAGAGGGACAGTGGCATTGTTTAAGAGGGCCACGGGACTGTTGGTCTGCGGCGTTTTGTAGGTAATGCTAGCCTGGGCGCCATTGCTGGCAACATCATTGCGAACAGCAGCGACAACGGTAAGGGCGCCAGAGCTGCCAGTGACACAGCTCTGAGGGGCCTGGAACAAGATATCATCCTGAAGAGGATAGCCGTTGCCGTTGTTGTCGTAGGCTTTGCTTGTTCCGTCGGCATTGTTCACGGTGACTGTGAAGGACGAGATGCCCGACGCAGCAGGAATGACGGCCTCGATGGGGTAAAAGTTAAAGTTGTCGTCGAAGCCTTGCGCAACTCCCTGAACAGTGCTCGTGATGGTGCAAGCGCTCGCACCACAGTTTGCATTGCCCTTGCGGTCCTTGTAAGTGATGGCCACGTTCTTGATGCTGTCCTTTGCGAGATCAGTGACCTTGACACGAATGAACCCGGTAAATTGAAGACCAGTGCCGCCGTTAGTCAGAGTAAGCTGCAAGTTGACAGGCTTGACGGTGTAGGGGACAATTGGGTCGGTAAGGGTGACGGTTGGAGGAACCACCTCAATCATCTTTTGAAGGACCTTTTGGCAGACGGCCTTGAAATTGTTGGCGTCAGTCAAAGTCTCCATGGTCTTGTTTCCGTCGACATTGAAAACCTTGAAGTCCGAGTTCTTGTTAATCCTGACCGAGGGGCCGACGACG